AAAAAAAAAAAAAAAAAAAAAAAAACAAACAAATCACACCAACAAGAGAGCTCATTGTATCATTGTAAGCCAAGAATTACAAACAACAAATGACAACTGTGACCTCCACAAAAGTATGAAAGAAAAAAATCACGACTTATTTAAGACTTAGAGAATAACAGAAGTTGGCTCCAGGAGCCATGCCTGTTAATTGAGCAGGTGAGCTGTCAGCAAAACCTTGATGAGACCACAGTGTACCCAAATGCTATCATGCTCTTGAGAGGGGTTTTTCCTTGATACACTGCATGTAACTGGTTCAAAATGACAAAACTTACATAGAAAATGAAAAAAAAGTGACCATCAGGCAACTCACAAGCTGCTCAGATGTTACAGGTCTGTCAAGGATTCATCTTATGGTTTGGAGGAAGGCTTTTCTCCTTCAGATTCCAGACTAAATTCAATATCAGATAGAGATTTTTCTAACATCCTATGGGAAAGCACCTTCAATGGATGGGTAGCTTGACTCATATCAGTGCTGCACCAGCAAACCTTCAGATATTGACTGAATCCACAATATTAAGAAAGAACATTTTTTCCTTGAGAAGGTCAATGTCAATAAAAGGGTCTGGCATTTCTACCTTCCCTTGCTTTTTCTCCCATTTACCCAGCAGGGGTTTCACGAGGGAATTGATGTGCAGGATGCTGGTACTGACTCGTTTCATCAGCTCTCGCTTCCCGGAGTCAGAGGAGTCGCACTTATAGTTGAGACAGTAGATGATCTCATTCACCTCATCCTTGATCTTCCAAGAGAGCATCGTTGGGAAAAATGTGACCATCTGGGAGATGATGGAGGCATGCAGTTGCTTGTTGCGGCATGCAAAATTCAAGATGAATAACCCTGAAACAGTGAAAAATACATCTGTGAGTAGAGGCAAGCACAAGAGTATGATGAGCTTCAAAACCAACTTCTTAAAGAAGAGAGTTGTTTTCTCTGACTAATCAGGATTCAAGCCATCATTATGTCAAGTAAAAAACTCTAATGCAGTTATGAGATAGATGGGGACCATGACCCCATCAAGCATGGATGATGGGGATTGAAACAAGAATGAAGTTGTGAGATACTCACCATTTGGAGCAAGAAGCTTTCTAACAGCCACCAACATGTTGGGTTCGACAAAAACTTTGGGAGGACAGCTGATACCCAGAGAGGGATCCTTTGAGTCCACATCAAACATGACAGCATCATACGTGGTTTTCCCTAGAGAAAGTGAACCAGAGCAACCATAAGAAAAGGTAGGATTCAGATGAAATGGGCAAATCCAGCTTTAACTCATGTCACCTTCTGCAGACTTTTTCATGATGTACTCGACTCCATCACCAATGATGACACGTAACCTTGGACCTCGAGTGAATCCAAACCATTTTGTAGCTACTTCCCTGATTTCATCATCTATTTCCAGCACCTCAATGTCAAGCTGAGGGAAGAAATACATCAATGCCAGTTAAAGTGGTAACACATAATTTAATCAAATAAAAGAACTTCATATCATGTGGCAAAAGAGACATCATCTTTCAGATACAATTTTTATCAATGGAACCCAGTAATTGCACAGCAACAAAAGAATGGAATGTCAAAAGAGTTGCAAGGAGTGGGTTCTGGATATTAAAAGCCTCTGACTTCTTTCTTTGCGAGCATCAAAACACAGATTTTACATTAAAGAACCAACAGCACATTTAAGAACTCAAGATGAGAACTTGAGACACTGACAGCATCAGTGAGTAATGTGCAGAATGCTGTAATTTTTAAATGGTCTGTGGAAGAAAGGAAAACACTTCGTTGTTCTGTTCTGTTGATGGTGCATGGGAGGGAAAAGTTTTACTCCTTGGAGTTATTTTCACCACAATTCATCAGTTTTTGTTTCCTACTACACTTGAAAAAGAAAAAAAGAAAATGGGAGGTAAAATTGTCACAAATTCTTTCACAAGATGAAACAAAAAATAACATCTTGTTCACACACCATTGGAAAGTACTTGTTTAGGAACATAGGAAGAGCTCCTCCTCCCAGTCCTACAATGAGGACCCGTATTGGCTCGGAACTTTCGGCTAGAGATGAAAAGAAGTCCAGAAACGCCAGGCCAGCAGTCATACACACATGATGCTGGCAGGACAAATGTGAATAATCCACAAAATATGAGACTGCTCCACTCCCATCCTTTCCATTGGCTGCAATCAGAAAAAACACAAAAACTATTGTAGAACCTCTCTTATCAAGCAATCTCAATGATGACTGCATAGTTTAGAAATTCACATCTGTAAGGCAGAAGACGAACTTCAGTCTGGATCACAGCTGGGTTGGCAAGAAATGTAAGCCTTCTATACTTGGCCTTATCTTCCAAAGAATCTACTTCTGAAACAACATACTGTCCAGCAAAGGCACTTTTTCCTTCATGTCTTCTTCTCCCACTGACAGGCTCACCTGTAGACAAGTAGTTGACCTGGAAGATTGCCAAAGGAGAAAGCAAAATAAGGATAATCATGAAGCTACTAGCATAAGGGAGAAAGTAGGTCCTCTGACGTGGGTGTATCACTCACTCTGGCATCACGTCTGAGATCTGCTGGGGCCAGTTCCATGACTTTGCCTGACAACTCATCTTTAATTGTTTCCAAACTCTCATAGAATTGATCAGGTTTGAGGTGGACAACAATCAACCGATCATAACCAGAATCTTCAGCCAATTGGTGTCTTCCTTCAGGAGTGGCAAATAAGTACTCATTCTCCCTGAAACATGGTCAACAACTTCATTCAATCAAGTGTTTAAAAATCATCTTGTGCTGATTTTTTTTTAAATTTATTTTCTGTGAAAAGAGTCAAACAATGGGGGGCATATAACTGAACTTACATAAACCTACTGCATAGCCTGTCTGCTCAAACAAGAGGTATGTCACTGGGCCAATCAAGGCCAAAAGGGAATTACAATGTAATTCCAAATGACAGATGGGAAAACTACATTTTTGTCTCAATGTTTTGACAGATATCCTCATTAACCCTTTCAGTGCCTAATTACTTTCTGCCCATTTTTCTAAGCTACTTTTGCATGAAAACATTAATAATGTCATTGAATATGCTAATCAACCTCTAATTTAAACTTCTTTTTTTCATGACTATCAACTGTAATTAGACAAGTAATTGGTTGCCATAGTCACATTTGCATGGAAAACGTCTGGATGAACCCCTGCTTCAGGACAAGTACCTCATATGGGTGAAATATGCTTAAAGTAATTAACAACTACTTTCAGCCTCTGTGGCAAATTGAGCACAAGGTGAGCAAAAGGATTCAATAGCCTTGGCTGCTTGAGTTCACAGCAACATCCCACTCAGTGTTTTAAGCACTATTTCACTCCTGTAAGTGGCTCATGGACATAAGGAGCACCTGTACTAATGTTTACAACGTTTCATGTCCTTGACTGACAGAAATAATTATTCACACTCACTTTCCCATAGGCACAATGAAGATGGCAAACCGATTGACAGTTCTCTTGTCCAAATCAACAATATGGAGAGTGTAGCGAGGTCTCTCTGAATCTGTCTCATAGAGTTCTAATGAGATATCTTCTCCTGCAACATTCTTCGTAACTACGTGGTGGCGCATCATGGCACACTGCTGAACACCCTTCACTTCCTGAATCATGTCACTGATTGCACAAACCCTTTCGACCTTTCCATCTGGGTTTTGCAGGCACACCTCCAGCACCTCAAAGGAAAGACAGCTACACTTCACTTTGCTGACAATAAACAATAAAATTATTATTTATGACATACTTTTCACTCTCTACTGTACAGAAGGCATATAGGAGACTCCTCAGCATGTACATGTTTATTCTGAGGATTTTGGAATTGAAGTCATTCTAGGACTTGGAGCCTATTAAGTCACTTGTCTAATGGACTCTCCCTCTAAGTCTTTTCTCAAAAACTCCCCAAGATCTGAGCATCAAATCAGTAAACAAAAAAAAATTGAAACCTTTTTGCCCTGATCCACAATACTTTTGCAATTGCTTACTCATCAATGGAAAGGAAATATAGTTAACTCTAATGGTGCAAATATAAGATCCATTTAGAAACACTAAAGAAATAGTGGAAGGAAAAAGAAGTCTAGTGAACTTGGCCAAGCAGTATAATTAAGCATCCTGATTGTCATTAGAATTTCTGGATTGCACTCATTTCAAGAAAGTGACTCCAATGGTGATGATACATCATTTGTAACAAATGAGTTTCATTGAAGCTTCTACTATTGTGGAAAAATGGCAAACTGCTGGACTTCCATAAATAGCCATTACTCATTAACATTAATAACAAATTTTAAAAAAGTCATAATTTTCACTTAAAGACACATTTTTAGGAATAATTTAAGACTATGTGAATGGCATTGTGTGCCTTCCTTGAAATGGAAAGGACTTCAGAAACACAAACAGATAGTCTTCAACATACTGGAGAAAATCCAGGTATCTTCTTGAACTTTGTAGCAATCACAGCAAACACAGGGAATGTTGCAGTTTTCATGGGGCTGTTGGGAGGAGTGCACCCTGCCATACAACGAGAGATTCTGATCATCCAACCTTCTCGGAAAAAGTAGTTGCAGAGGAAAACAAGAATGTGCTCTTGGAGCAATGAGATGCACATGTACCTTCCACCAACTCGCATCACTCTGCAAATGTGCTGCAGGGAAGAAGAAATACTGAAGTGCTAAGTTCATCAGGTCAACATGATGAGAAGTAAAGAAAGTCACCAATACCACTTACACATAGGTACCTTTCAGCTCGTTCACGAATTTCATCTGAACTGTCTGCCATGATGGCATCTAATGTGCCCTTGTCAATGACCACATTGAAAGTATTTTCATCAAAATCCATCTCCATGAGGTCCATTCGAATGAACTTCATTTCAGGACGAAGACTTTTGTTCTTGTCTTGCATCTGTTTGATAACAACTTGGCTAATGTCCACATTGGTGACATTCCTGAAAACAGGATTATCAAGATAAGCCTTATTTACCCTCTATTTAAAAATTACTATTGCAATGATATGAGAATCTGGAAAGTAAAAATGACCTGTATCCAACATCATATAGTTCAGCACTGAGGGATGAATTGCCACAGCCAGCAATGAGGATGTTGTCCTTAAGTTTAATATATTTGTTTAAGATGACTGCTAACTCTGGATACTCGCCATACCTGAAACCAATTAAAAGAGTGGAATTGCATTCTGATATAAGTGTCCTTCCAGAGAACACAGATTTTCTATATCAATATGTCTTCAGTTCAGACAATTCAAGAATCAGGATGGATGCAAAGTCAAGTAGACCTGTAGAAGTTCACAAATGGAAGAAGTATTTGATTAAAATTAGGATTACTTATCCAAAATTATCTTACTTTCCTTCCCTTGATGCTGACTCATGTTTTCAGCCATGAGATGAAAGTCAGCATCTAGGGGAAAGGAGAGAATGCTCTTGTGATGTTCATGCAGAGGTAACCATTTCTGTCAGTTCAGTATCCATTAATAAAGATGGACCAACATTGATACCAATAATTAGATATGTCATACGAGGATCAGTAAAGATTGGCATTGGGCAGGCACTCTGAAAGTGGAACGTCTTATCAAATGCTGACTGATGCCTTACCAGCAGCCCTCAACTCAAAGTCAGCTGGCAAGGTTTAAGAATCAACAGGAAAAAAACTAACCATTCAAATGATTGTCTTCCTTTCTTTTTCAGGTTCTTGAAGAAAGTATCCCAATAGCCCTCATGGGCAAACTCCTTCTTAGTCTTGGGAAGAAGGTCTAACTTCAAGTTCACCATTTTCACTCAAGCCTCAAGATGAACCCAATGACTGAAGCACACTCATGGGTGAAATCACCATCCTTGCCAACCAACACCATGAGTCTCAAACAATTTGGCCTACATAGGTCTATGCTGCATTAGTATGCTGGCATATTTAAATTCTCTTTCTGAAGCTTGCCTTGCTTGGATGTTTATGATGATAAATCATCATAAGACCTAGGACAGACATGAAATTTTCAATCATGAAGGTGATAAATCAATTTTTATATATTAATTATAGGCCCAGGAGTAGAGCTTAAAACTAAGCTTACTTATATGTACAGCCAGATTTCCTGACATTTGACTGATGCAATGACCAATTTTCACCATTCCAGTCACCTAAGTAAGTTTCTAATTTTGACCTAGTAATGTGATTTTTGATTGACTGGATCCCCCTTAACCCATTCTGAATGGTACCATATGTCATCCAACTGAGCGACATCTACAGTCTCAAAATAACTGCTCCAGGCTAAATCAGCAACTGGAGTGAAAATTAAGTCATTCCCACTTCTGTTGAAGAAGGGGGCATGCAATCAACAGAAAACCACTGCATTCAATTTGATAGTTCATGATGAGATTTGGATAAACAGTGTGAAGCTGCCACATGGGGGTCCAGTGGATAAACAGCAGCATCTGCAATCTACTCGGCAGAAAGACCGACGCCCATTATTTTCAAGTGTCTTTCAGCTGATGGCTTATTTCTATTAGAGTAGACAATTCAGTGGAATGTTTGTGCTTTCTTTTAAGCAATTATTTCTTAATTCTATTTATAAACATGTCACATTTGACAAGATTATCCATGTTATTTATACAGATAAAGGCTATTGTTCCCACTAATTTCTAAAGTCATCTCCAAGCTGACTAGCATCCATCCATAATGGGTGGACACTGTTCAGCTTGTCCCAGTCAAAGAAGGCAACTGATTAATTCAGAACAACTGAGTTTCAGAAATAATATCTTAATGAACGTGGAACGAGCTGCTATACTTCACACAAAAAATGTACACTTGAAAGATAAAAAATATTTTTTTCCTGTACCATGTCACATTGAAGAGGTTGGGGCCATGATTACTCGACTGACTTAAAATACCGGAGCCACTGACTGTAACTTTTGGGTTGATCAACTCGTATGTAGGTGATGGTCAAGGTGATCAACAGGTGATGGTCTGTCATAAATGAAGATTTACCGGTTTTTCTGTAAAGCTTTACACGTGCAAGTTACTAAGTCTAGGGAATATCTCTTATGGAAAGATTTCCTTTTATTATGCCACCCTGTGAAATTCCAGAGCTTGGAACGAGAACATATTGAGTGGGAAGTTTCCCGTCTTCGCAAGAGCCGAAGGGGACCACGGCGAAGGCATGTCTCTCGCGGTAGGCCTGATCGGAGCGGCCATCAATTAGCAGTGCTGTGAAATGCCCCAGCTAGGAACCGGCTCCTACTACCGAAGAAAGGCAGAACCCTTGGACACTATACAAAACAGTTAGAGCAGTATGGGCACTGAAGGAGGTCAGTGGGAACGCCGTTCCCTCGCTTATTTTTTTTGGCACGAAAGCTGCGTCAATGGGAGTGTGAGAGTTCCTCGATATTCCTCAAGGAATTGCCGAAGCAGACCCGTGCAATTAACAGTTTGCTCAAGTATACTGCGATGGTAAAATAAACCCTAACCAAAAGTCTCAATATTATTGTAGGAGCGGCGGCGCAAGGGCGAGGAAAGGGAGGGGGGGTTTAATGCATCACCCCTTCGTTTATACCATTCCCTTACTTTCACAGGTTGAATTACCCTGTACTCGGTATCGGAAATAGAATTTGGGGTACATTACACCAGCTCTAAGAATAGTTTTTCACAAGGGCCTTTCTTTTTACATTTTTTTTTTATCAAGTCACTTGGATTCCAAATCTGAATAAGTAAGTTTCTAAATATAATGTTCTTGGCAATCCTTATGCTGAAGCATTTCTTATTTTCAATTCCCAGGACAAGGTCCTCGCGTTTACGTTATTCCAACAATTCCCAAATTTCCTGAGATCAAATCAATCTTTTTGAAACCTTTGAGGCACTCACCATCACGTCCCGAGAATTAAGGAACTTCGCCTCGTTCCTCGGCGGCTATTTCTTCCGTGCCTTTTAGTGTTCCTTTTGCGCCTCCATCTGCTTCGCTAACGTCTAAGCCAGTGTCGACTCCTCGGGGTGATCTTGAAAGCCACATCAAAGATTCCAGGCAACGGAGGTAAAAGGCAAAGGAANCAGGCAACGGAGGTAAAAGGCAAAGGAAGGGCAGCTGACATGAAGGCAGGGAGGAAGAAACATCGTCCTCTGCAGGAGGATGTTCTGCTATGATATCGTTTGGTCAGTTTCTGACGGTAAAGATTATGTTCTCTTTCGGCAATCGACAAACTTACAATTCTACTTTTTAAAAACGAACTCCATTTCCATTAATGGAGGTGGGGAAAAATATTACGGGGGGAAAAATATCATACGACACCGGCACAGAGGAGAGGATCTCTCCTTTTCAACGACGGAGACCGCGACTAGCGGATTCGATCGAGAGAGAACAGGCGCCAGAAGCGACGAAAGGGCGCAACGAGGCGTCGGCGTCCGTCCGCCTCCACGCCGAGGGACAGTCTGGACGGCAGCCGGTTCGGTTTCTGCGATGCAATTGCATTCGGAGAAACGTTTGAACTTCAGGATGCAGGGTCGGCTTCGATTGCTCAGGGTCCGATTCGGATCGGATGACGGATCACGTCTGTGGTACGGTTTCGAACAACTTCTCAGACGTGGGACACATTTTCAAAGCCTTCACAGCCTTCACGTATGCATAGATCGATTCCTGAACACGGATCAAGTGACGTATTTATACATAATATCATATATATTTTATATAATAACCAATCCATGTTCTCCAAACGCTTGAACTCGAAAATTCCCCGGTCAGAAGAACTCGGACGTGGAAAGTTCGGGGGCTTCACAGCGGGCTTTTCACATGGTGAATGAGCCAATGTCTAAATCATCCAATAAGCTTCTTCGGCCTTCAGTAGGCCTAGTGTATGCACGAAGTTCAATTTCTTTGTCGATGGCAGAAATAAATAAATAAAAGTCACATGTGCTTCTTCAGGTTTATCATTTTTTAATAGCATGAAAACACAATGGCAAATATGGCAATGTCTTCACTCGAAGCATGGATAAAATAAAACAAAATAAGCTCAACGCAAATAGAAATCAAAGCTCCAGCAATAGCAGCCTCATGACATGCAAAATAAGACTAGAGAAAGAGATCAGATGGCAAGGCTTGACCTTGGAAAGTCCTGGATCACTTGATAGAGTTGTGCAACATGAAATAAAGTTGGCTCAAGCACCTAAATTCACTTTGTGTATTGAAAAACTCAAATATATTTGTAGGACATTTCAGTTTTCAGTCTGCAGGATTGCCTGCCCTCTATCTTAGCAACTCCAACATGTTTCTAATTATTTTTCTTTTAGCTAGAATTGAATCAAATGGACAAGCATCTGACTTATGTACTATCTTCCCAATAGTTTCAGCCAAAGAATTTCAAAACTTCAAATCTCAAGCAGGCAAAACTGCAAGAAATACCTATCTTCTTTTCAAAAAGGAAAATCTCAACTGTATACCTGATATGGAATTGTGGGAGTTATGACCATAGTTGATACCATTAGATTTATATTGAAAAGAAATTTTCATATCAAGGAAAGGTAATCCAAAAAAGTATACAGGCTCATAAAGGGCTCAGTGCAATTCATAATTTGAATTCATCATATACTTCAGAAAGCAGAGGCATGAAACTAATCATCATTCCCTTTGGGCTATTTCATGCTTGCAAAGGCATCTCTCTAAATATTCACTTGGTGATCATGAATATGTACAATGAATTTCAAAACTACTCTATGGATGACATAGCGAAACTGTATAAGATGGCATTAATTGATATAATATATAAAGCGAACAAGTCCTTGTCACCAATCTTATCTCACCACCAATTTGGAGCAGTCTCTGTCGACTGTATAATGTATAGGATCAGTAATCTTAAAAACATGCTGTTAATGAGGGTCCTTCTTGCTTATTTCTGTACTGTCTACCTGGAATACAGGGTGGCACAAAAGACACGCCCCATAGAGAAAAAAAAAAATTTTTTCCAGGTAAGTAATGGCTGCAAAATTAATGCAAGTTGAGAGGGTGAGCTTGGTTTTAATGTAAGGAAGTTAACAGACAACAATTCGAACATTTACTTTAATAAACAAAAAATAAATTATTTTTTCTTCTTATCATTCAAAATCCCTATGGGGCATGACTTTTGCACCACCCTGTATAATAGGATCTATGAAACACTTAAGGCAAACCTTCACTTATAGCACTCAAGGACTGGAGAGGCTAATCACTCAAGGAGGTGACCACTTGTGAGAGAAGTAAGAAACTGCAAATCTAGTCATTACATTCCTAAACAAAGCTGGGCAGAGCCCAATCCCTTGGCAAGTCTCCTTGGAGTACATTGTCATAGATGAAACAGGTAGAATATTAGGGGACACGAGGAAAGAACAGGGAGGGAGAAGAGCAGGAGAGGATTCCTGTAGATGTATGGCAGTTAGAGGCAAGGAGAAATGACCGTTAATTCTAAGAGAGTTTACAAATAATGTTTCCAACATCAAGTAGTTGTCAATTTTACCACACTTGGGAGTTCTGATAATAATTTTAAGTCTGAAGCAACTATATTTTTGAAACACACTGTGTATCTGAAGATCCGTTAAGGTATTCCGTAATATCAGGAAAAAGTTTCTTTCCTTCGAACGATTAGTCAACATTCGACCTATGTGGGTCCTTTAGTAAAGTAGTCTTACTCAGGATAGGGCTCTAAATACTATGCTCTAAATCAATTGAACAGCATATATTCATGAACAACTTAAAATCACCAGGAGAAGAAATGGCAACAATGCATTTGCAGCAATCAACAAAGCTAGCAAGTATTATTTAGTTGGATTCAGTAGCCACTGTGAATTAGCCAAGTTTACTTGACATGCAAGTTCCTTTTACCTTCTTGTACTATGGCAGGGGAAATTCAGAGATTTCAAGTTCCAAATAATCTTCCTTGATATATTCAGCCAATTGTGGATGAAAAAGGAGGCATTACAATAACAAAAAAGTCTCAATCAAGAGCAGCAGGGCTGATCACAGAAAATCATGAGGGCTTTGGTCTCACTTTCATATACTTGAATTGCTGACCCCGATCAATAAATTGCCCATTTGAGTCAACTACTAGAGTTCTCTTCTTCACAGCATGAAACTGTTCTAGGGCAAATTCATAAAACTCATTCTCCATCTTCCATACTCTGGTTTGCTGAATCTTGTTTAGAGTTTCTGGCGAGGGAGGCAGCTTCTGCTTTGTTTTTCTCAAGTGAGACTTCTCTCCTGTAAACAAAGGAAAGATCAAAGAATTTGTATTTAGCATTGCCTTTTTGAAAATCATTAGAAACAAGTAGTATGCAAAGCTTACTCATATGCACTCACCCGCAGTAAAATATGCACTGGCTCCATGGAAGACACGAGGAAGAGCAAACTCAAGCAGAGTTATGAAGTCAGAAATTTCATCAGTGACCCCCACCAGTAGGTACTTATGAACTAGATTATGCTTTGCCTCAGACAATGCCCATTCACTCCCAGGTACCCTAAGAGAAAAAGAAGAAACCTAAGCAAGAATTTGAAGAAGTCATCATATAAGCTCTAAATTTCAATGATCCTGTAGCCTTGTCTACAGCATCTTTAGCTGACCATAGTTATACAGTCCACTCCACATAATAGAATACTCTGCTTAATAGAATACCATAGCACAGTCCTGATTTATGGTATGATACAGCAAATAATGTCAGTTATTAGGATCACCTGGATTAAAGAATAAAGCTTGCTGATCCTGTGAGTATTCCAATATCAACTGTAGTTATATTATTAATTATTTTAGTAGTGGTCCTCAATGTGAGACTCAGCCATAATACCAGGCTAAGTGGTGGTGACTCTCAGACAACAGTGATTGCACATTTTTTGCTAGTCATCACCTGAATTGGGCTTGTTTATATATATAAATTATATTAATTAGTTTTCTATTAAGAAAATTTCTTTCAAAATTCAAAAAGAGCCTATTTTATTATTATTTTTTTTTCTCTTATATATCGTTACATTAGAAGTTGAAACCGTGAGACGCACAAGAAACAAACTCCATATCAGACTCCCATTTACTATACCACCACCACTGTTTCCAACACGTTGCTATCCTTTTGATACATTTTGTTGTGGTTATGAATGGAAGTTTATCCATGTGGAATTATGAGGAAAAATTACAACCTACATTATTTTGTTGCTCTCATACCATTTTCTGGTCCAACTTATAACAATTTGGCATTAAAATGGCAGGATGACATAATTGACAGTCAAATACATTTTTTTTAAACACAGAATGGGAAGAAATTACCAGCAAATCCTTTAACAGAATAGATCTATTAACTTGGCTACAGCCAAGTAGAGCAAAATTATTTGAAGCTACCTTACAACTTCTAGGTCCACTTTAATAATAACTAAATAAATGTAAGTTTCAAGAATAGCTCACCAGCATTCAGCAGCATGGCCACAAAAGAAAGGAATCTGCAACCATAGATTCTTCACATCACATTCAACAAGGCCTTCTTCCACACACTCATCAAAAGTCTGGATAAAAGAGCAAATATGTTCTCATAGATTAGCATCTCCAGTGGCAACAAAGAGGGCTGGAGATTCAGGATTTATGATATTCTGGATAGCTTTCCTAGCCTGTGCCATTTCCACTCACAACTTCCTGATTAGCATTGTTCTGAATGCTACAGGTGATGAAACATGCTTAATGAGGCATCAATTATAGAGTGGGAAAAAAAAGCATGGTGATTAAAGAATATTTCCCTGGAAGAGAGAGCTAGAACCTATTTCAGAACAATGCATTTGAGTGCTACTTTTTGCCAAAACTAGAAGGAAAAAGGGTCAATATTGCAATCATCATTTTCAACAATGACAGCAACAACATAGCCTTATCCCTAACTTGCTGAGAGATAGTCACCCACTCTTGTACAACCTTCAATCACAGACGCTGTTGGTTTTGGATGCTTATTTTTTGGTGCATTGTTTTCCTAAAAATCTCTCCAGAACTTTATGCAACAGTTGTATCCTTGTGCCAAGCATTTGAAAACACCAGACTTAATTGGATCCAGAAATATACCCCCCCTTCCCCATTTTTTTCAGCCATTTGCCCATTAGTCACAATACCCCACTTCATTTTGGCATGACTAAACACTTTTCAGAGAGCTTAATTTGACAACCCTTTGTTTTATCAATAGAATAAATAGGATAATTATACACTGATAATGAACTCAAAATCATAGTAACAAGGAAAGAAATGGCAAAAAAGGAAAGCTCACCATTGTATTTCCTTTCTTTCTGCGATTCAAGTGAGGCCTAAAGTCATCCCCATAACGAAGGAAGTAATAGTAGGAAATCATCCTCTCCAGTGGTTCACGTATAATATTAATGTAGATGGGTTGTTGAGAGATTCCCAACCTGGAAAAGAAACAAATCAAGTTTTCATTATTAAGGGGATCAAGAGTAAAAACTCACATGAACAAGTAATGAAAAACAAGATTTTCCATCTTTTACATTTCAGGAAGGAAGAATTTCCTTTACATAGGAAGTATTATGTAGCCCTATGGAAACCTAAACTGAGAAAGATGGGTGGATCATATACTGGCGAGATGAATTTCCTAAATACCAACCAATTTCCATCGCTGATGGCATTATCAGAAGAAGCAAAACATAGCTTAGTCCAACAAAACAATAACTTCCCTGCAAGGCCAAGGTTAACCTTCTCTGAAAAATTCATGCACTGCAATTACTACTTTATTTCCAGTCATTATTCATGACAAATTAAGCACAAACACTCTTGAAACACTCACCTAGTGAAGTCAAGGTATGCAAGATGACCATGATAAACAGCTGGCTTCTTCTCCTGCCACTGAGTCACATTTTGGGCAAATCTCACCTGAAAAACAATCCAATCAGCAGTTTTGGAACATGAAACTGGCTTCCCAATAAAAAAAAATAATGAAAAATCTTGGCTACTGTGACAACAGCAGACAAGAGCTTTGCATGCTTAGTCTATATCATGGATGACCAACCTGATCAGACAGACTCAGAATATGGGAGTTCTTGGTGACATTGATGTGTAGAACATGATAACCATTCTGCCCACAGAGATCGTAAACAACCCCCATAAAAGAGGTAGAACCAGTCTTTGGCACTCGGTTGTAGATGACCACAATGTCATCTTTCTGCTGGTCATGGGGATCATGTGATGCATCTTCCAAGCGGGGAGCAGTATGGACTTGCTCTGGTAACAAATAAAACCATCAGTTTTATTTATAAATATTTTAATAAATTTATTGTGGGAAAATGCACCTAAAATAAAAAGTAACAGATCATAAAGGAACTGAAAAGAGGATGTTTCATGAAATCCCAGAAGCAAAGACCCTCATCTAGGTGATACTAAGGAGCAGTTATGCCTTGCAAAGGGTTTCCATGAATTTGCTGCATCCAATCCGTGTTAGAATAATTAAGATTTACCTCAAGGTCTTCCTTGGGGGATTTCAATGTGAGGAGACCTGAAACAACCATGTAACTTTCTAGAAGGCTATGATTGAAGATAGGGATAACTAGCAGACTCTCCATTCTTCCCTCCTCTTTCAATTTCCAGTTTAATCTCAGTTTCAGTGTAAGTTAACAGAAAAATTTGTATGCGTCCATCTCCAATCCATCTCCAGTTGCATGTAACTGGAGATAAACTGAAAATGAAACTGAACAGGATTATATGAAATCACTGATAGCACTCCTTCAAGCTTCTAGGGAAATTACCACTTCAGGGTATTCCTGATCAGCTACCTCAACATGTGAAAAGAGAGCACACAAAAGAATGCATTTGAACTATTCTATTGTATTTGCATGCATCATTCATCAGCATGCTACCAATCACTACTTTTCTAATAGTTAATTTTCTAATACTCATCACCCTAACCTCCTAAGTATTCATAACAGAGGTCAAATGGATGAAAATATTATGGATAATGATGAAGAACAAGGAAATACATTTTTTGGTGAGGAGGATTTGTACCAACCTTGACTCCTTTATGCATTAGTGCTAAGTTAAGCCTATGGATGTGTCTCATGACATCCCATCAGAAACTCACCAATGTTCCTCACTTGTGCACTCAGGGAGGTCACCAGAATTCGTTGATATAGAACAAACACAAACAGAAAGACAATGGAGGAGAGAAGCAAATGTACAAGCCGGAAGCTCTGCATCCCCATAATTGTTCTTTGGCTGCACATGGGGAAAGAGCACTGGAGCAAATAGGCAACACCATCAGCCTAAAGCCTCATGACAGGCACTATTCAAACACTGCCTACATGTTCTTCAGGTCCCTGTGAAGCAGCCAAACTGGATTGAGTCTCACTAAACACTATGCAATTTCTTGAGGATTATAGGATGATAGGATTATAAGCGTTCTTCAGTCAAAGAGATAAATACAAAAAACCGTTGGTCATACCAATTCTGTGAGGCCTGAAAAAAAATTAACTTCACAGACTTCGCAACAGATAGGGTAAAACCATCTAATTTTGGACTGTACGTAGGTTTGGACATCATAAAATAAATTGTTAAAAAACAAAGCATTTATGGAGTCACCCTCAGAAACAGCTCTTCCAAGCTGCGAAGAACTGTTTCTGGGAGGGAATTCACCAATGCTTGGTTTTGTATCGATGTATGTGGTGTGATGTGTCCGAACTTACATGGTTTTACCCTAGTCATGGCAACAATTTTTCTACTTAAAAGTTCATTCCTGAGAAAGCAGACTTACCATGACATGGTCTTAAGTTATAATTATTTTAATGAATGGATGGCATTACTGACATACTGATCTTCTTTGGCAGGCCTACTAAGGAAGGCCAGCTTACCATAAGGCCCGAAGTTAGATAGAACCTTCACTGACAAAGGAAGGTCTAGCACCAAACTAAACCTAGGTTGCTTCCCGTTAAGGTGTAGTCTACCACCTTTTTCACGCATATCGTACATTCGACCAAGAACGCCTGCTTTGCAGGGCCTGTGCCTCCGAAATAGATCAGAAAGATCTGAATGAATGCTTCGAGCCACGTGGGGCCAGGCGCGGCCATGTTGGAGAAGCTTGCCCCAGCTAGTTTGCGTGCTCAACAACCTTTTCACGTTCCTGGCAGTTGTGTTAGGGCCTTTCCTTTAAATTTAGGGGAATTCAATGCTCTTAACCGTAAAAAGGAAAATGGAAGGGATGCGTAAGGTCTGTGAGGTGTTTGGGTGGATTGCATCTTATGGGGTGTTTTGCTGAAGTGGCTGAGTTTAGCCTGTAATGCTACAGCTTTATTTTTTTTAATGACGACTTTCGAACTACCTTTCATGGCTGTATCTTGCTTATGTTACATTTTCCACAGATGTTTGGAGCAACAGGTTTTCTGAATCGAGTGAATTAAAAATGCCTACCATGTATTATGAATTCGGAATAGTTTTAACTAGAGTGGCCGCCCTAGTTAGGCCTAAGCTTTTAACCTTGGGAAATTTAGGTAATATTTATGCGGACATCCAACCATTTTCATTGTCTTGCCCATAGAGGCCGAGAGGCTCTCTCCCCGATGGTCAGCAATGGAGTCGTTGGGGAGGTCATCTGATGCTAATATCCCCTCTCACAGTGCAGCTTTGGAAGGATTGCCAAAGCAGTTTGTGGAGGGGTTGAGGACTCTTTTTGATATTATGGATGACAAGAAATCAGGCTTCATCAGCTTCCATGGTGAGACTTACCCATACTTTTATTTGCTCCAGATCAGATGTGTTTATTTCTAATGCTGTATTGTTATTTTAACGTGCTTACATCAGCTATTGTACATCTTGTGAACACACAAAAGTGATCACAAAAAAGTTAAGGAAAAGGATATTGGTCAATACTTAATCTTGAGGTAGAGTTCCTCCTGGAAATGTTTGATAAACTAAACTTGAAAGTGTACATTAAGGAAGTTGCTCTAAAAATATTTGAGAATTGATCCCAAATGATGGAAGAAAATTTTACTGAAGGAACCCAAGTGAAGAAGATTTTTAGGGGAAATTTATCCCCCCCCCCCCCATTGCATGACAGGTAGAATTAAGTTAGCCTGTCATTTTATATTTTGTTTTGGAACCTGGATATAGGCCCCATAAAATTTGAACCAGAGCAAGCAAGCTGAAACTTTGCCAAGTCAGAGAGTAAATGTCAATATCAGTAGGTGTAGTAGGAAGAATGGAATAGTCACTTTCCCCTTGCCAAAGTAAGCAGCAGTTTTCACAATAGAGAAAAGATTAGAACAACTTGAACTAGCTTGCTTCTTTCCATCCAATTCTAGTTTGAAATCTTATCTACACTCTGGGAAAAGGAACACTAAGTAAAATGTATAAACAATAGATGGAAAGATTTTGTGGAAATCTGATAGAAAAAGTCTTGCTTAATCTGTTGGAGATTATGCTTCTTATAAGTTGACCCTATATGACACAAAGTGAACCTAGTCCTCTTCAGCAAGAAAGGCTCCATTGGAAGTTTAGATGTTTTGGTTCACCTTTTTCCATGAAAATGAGAGACTTTTGCCATTACATATGCCATACATTAGGCATTTTCTCATTGCAGAAATTGAGCAGCGTTGGAAAGAAGAAGATCCGCATGGTTTGCCCAAAGGAGTCTTGGATTCTCTAAGGAAAGTAACTCCATCAAGTGGCCTTTTGAGCTTTGAGAGATTTTGTGCTGGGCTGAAAATATGTCTCTTGAGGAACAGGGCAGATTCATCCAATGGTGCCACAAGACGTCTCAAAACTGCTTCTGTGCAGCCTATCCGTCCCCCCTCGGCTCCCATTTTAGATTTGGATGCTAATGGGCATTCCAAGAAGCCAGGAATGATAGCAACAGTAAGACCAACTATGGATACTGCACTGAACACTAGTGCCCAGAACATGAGGTCAGCCATGAGCATGCCACAGCTTCACAGTGAATCAGGGACCAGTGGTGAACTTGAAGATGTTGAAGATAGCATATCTTCTCAGACAAAGGAGACAGATGGTCACATGAACACAAAAAGACCAGATGTATCATGGCAGAAACAATTTCCAGTTCCTCTCCTAGGCCCTCCCAAGCCACCCAGAATGGGCCTGTCAGAGCAGCACCAACAGAATAAGGGTGAAATCCGTGCAGTTCTCTATAATTGGCATCAGAATCTTCTCCACAGTGATAGTGAAAGTGCAAAATCAGGCAGTGATTTTGAACTAAGGTGAGTAATAGCAGTTTTTTCATATCCTTGGAATGCAGACACCTATATTGCTTTATGTCCTAGAATGTTGCATAAAGACTGAAATCCAGGTTGTCTCCCTTTGAAAAGCTGGCCAATCATGCAATCTCTGGTTGTAAAGATCTTGCATCATTCAGTTCTTGCTCAAGGCTATGCCAAACTGATCCAACTCTCCAAGCCTTATTGTTTCCTTGGGAAGTTCTACATGTTTGGCAAGAATATAACTCATGAGTGTGCTCTCAGTATTCTGAGTTGGAGTCAAGAATGACTCTGCTCAGGGAGGGTCATCTCATACACAACTCATTTATTCATTCAATGGTTTTATTCATGTTGATTCATGTCTTTCTAGTGCCATTGGTGATCCCCAGAGAAGAATTGGAAAGAACATGGATTTCCATTCTGCACGACAGCAGAGTGCATCATTGCCATTTCTGTTTCCCCCCTCTACTACTGTGCAAGCCTCAGTGACAGCTGCCTATTCTCTGTCTACTCTTTTGACCACAGCATCAACACATAATCAAAGGAAGAGCAGTGCAAGACGACGGGAACCTCGGCGACACACACTCACCAGTGGCATTGATTACACCATGGTGTGTTCAACATTTCTCTTAGTCAATGCTTTAAAGTTGTAGTCATTTTATTGCCCAATTCATCAGGAGATGGGTGCATTTTTCAGGAAGTGAAAACAATTAATTGACTCCTTCATTGAATATAGCACTTGTGAGGGAGAAAAGAGGTGTTTTAGGTCTGTTGCAACTTGTGGACTGCTTATGCTCTGTATTTATTCATTATTGCGCCATTTTTCAGATGAAAAAGTGCCATAGGTCATTAGTTCAAATTTATATGGAGAAATGAGAAAGGGTGGATCTATAATCATTCTTCAGTAGAGAAATGCATTTATGATTTCTTCCTTCATGAAAAGCAAAAAATTCCAAAATGTTCTCTCTCATAACCTGTCAACTGTCCCCCCAAAAGTACTTATTTTCCTGAGGTGCAGTAATGTCCATGAAGATGCTGCAGTTTTTATTATTATTGGAAATTATTAGGAAACATGAGGTAGAGTTTTCATGCAGAGTCTTATTTCTGTTCCTGCAGTTGAAACGTCTGAAGCAAGTGGAGCAGGAGAGAGATATGTTAGTGCAAGGGTTGCAGGTTGTAGATCGAGCAAGAGAATGGTATCAGAAGCAAATATCTGCAGTAGAAGACAAAATGAGGGATATTGGACAAATTGGATGGCTTCCTGTAAGTAGCCACTTTCTAATTTTACTACTGTCTGGTGTAAGAGCAATATAGAATATTGCTCTTTGATAAGAGTTTATTACAGAATGAATTTGTTTGCTTTCCTGCACTCTCTTCAGTTTTATGAGAGGTGAAGTGATATGCATATTTTTTTCATTTAATTTCCCCAGGAATATTCTAGTGAAGCCTACCAGGAACGGCTGAATTTCCAGTATGCAAGGATTTCAGAAGTGAATCAGCATCTTGAGGCACTGATTGAGAGTTCAGAGAGGGGTTTCCCTCTTCATATGAATCTGGCTTTCAGACTTCCTCCACAAGGAGTCAAAATGGGTACAAAAATGGCCACTTCAAAGGATGCTAACAACAACCGGACCGTTCTCAGACTCCGAGATCAGAACCGACAACTTACTGAGGTTTGTTGATGGAATCATGCTTCTTTAGGGCAATTGGAATTGGAGATACCAACCTTTCAAAGCCATTATGCATACTTTTCTTTTTTTCCCATCATGCAATAGGAGGTTGGCAAAAAGTCTGAGCGCATAACTATGCTGGAGAAGGAGAAAGCTGCTCTACTCAGGGAGGTGTTCCAGGTTCGAGCCACTACTCAAACTCACATGTCCCGAATGTCTCAAGAGGAAGCTAGTTTCATGTGAAGTTCATTCATTGCAATGCCCATGTGGTGAAAGATTGAACACTTTATGTTGAAGCTCAGGATTATTGAAATTAAAAGGTGCAAACATTTATTTTGGGTCTCCTATCCAATAGCATCTTCCATGTGCCTTTTACATTAGAACCCTGATTTTTAATCTGGAGGTTGTGATACAGTGATGCAAAATTACTGCTTGTTGACTCTTGTTAAAAATGATTGCAATGTTAAGTATGGACCTCATGCTATTCCTATCTGAATGTTATCTACAGTGATCATATTACAGGAGAAAATTGAAGAGGCCAACAAGATGAAATGTGTCTTTGAGCAATGGATTAACCCACTGTATGTATTTATTTATGTCCTGTATAGACTGCACCTTTCTCTCTGCATGAGACTACATGGAAAAGATGGGCAGAAACCTGATTTGAGAAGTCAGCCTATAAAAATTGGGGAAAATTGCAAACCAGTATTGCAGTGTATCAAGAGAACCTACACGCTTGAGCAGCCTATGCTAGTAAATGGTAGCATTGTTGAGGTGTTCATTGGTGTTACTTCCCCATCAGAATCCATTGAGAACACTAAAAGTCTCTTTGGGAGCCTCTCAGATCCTTCTTTTCTCATGCAGTCTCATATTTCTGTAGCTTATGCAAGGATTCTGCATTTAAAAAAATCAAGAAACTCATGCATGTATGGTCATGCTGGTGAAAACTGTATATCTAACTCACTAAACATCAAAATTGAAGTTCTCTGCATCATTTCCGAACTAGACTTCCTAAGGTCTTTCTCATTGGTGGTGTTTATTTTTGCTAGTTTTTTTTCCTTGAAACCTGAATGGAGTGAAGAGAATCTTGCAGCAATCTGCAATGCCTGTTGGACTGGTATATTTGCTACATGGAGGCTTATCTTTCAAATGAAGGGTTGTTGGATACATTTTTGGAGATTTTAGTCACAGAGCTAATATGGTATGGTTGTTTGGAGGGCTTATAAAGCAGATGATATTCGTGTCTTGCCTCACATTGACCTAAGTTGCTGGTCAATAGAAAGTATGCAGTACCCCCCTCCAAGTGTTAAGGGTTATTAAGTGTCTGCAGGTTTCATAAAAGTTTGATTTTTAATCATTTTTTTATGGTGCATATGCTATTCATGCTTGTATTATTTGGCATTTTGGGTCTCAAAAAGCCTAAAAAGTCGGTGAGGTTCATTCCAATACTCATTTGTGTGACTGTTTCCTGAAATTTAGTGCAATTGCATTTTGACTCAGCTTCTTACTATTTTATCTTGCAGTAGTCCTCCCATTGGTTATGTCCATGCATAGGGAGGCAATGCATATTGAGATATGGAGTTTTTATTTTCCATACATTGTTGTAATGCTTTTTCTTTCTGATGTTCTTAGAGCATTTCATGTATCTTGCTTGCAGGAACAAGAAATGTATTTCATACACCATGTGCAATCTTTCCTTGTCTTCAGCATTCCAACTTGTTTTTTGTGTTTTTTTGTAACACTTTTGAAGTAATGACTTTTGAATCTCCTTTTATTTATCAAAATACATTTCTGCATTGGATCCAATATTATGACATTCCCAATTTGCTTGCATGTGTGCATAAATGTTGCCACTAAATTTTTGGAACTTCTGAATTGGAATTAAGTGATTATGCAATCATAGATTTGTTTAATAGGTATTTGCTTTTTTTTGCCGTTTTTGAGTGCTTTCTCTTTTTTTTTTATAGCAAACTTGGAATTCTTCAGTCATTGAGAATTTCCCTTTGTATATTCCCAAGAGTGTTTGTGTTTCTATATTTCTTCTCATGGAACTTGTTGCAGCTGATAGTGCCAAGGTGAGCATAATAATTAATTTTATACTTTTGCATTTATTACATTTTCCATTTTGCTATATGAAATAAATTATTACTGTTCACTCAAGTCTGTCTTTCCTTTCTTGTCACTTGAGGAAACTTCATGCCCTAGCTGATACAAAGACTTATCATGAATCTATGGAAGAGATTTTTGGGCTCCTATTTGTAAAGCATATTCATAGGTGGAGGTTTGACCTTGATGACAAATCCCAGGATGGTACTCTGTCAGTTCCGGCTGACAGCAGATTCTTTCTGCACAGGAGATCATCCATTATTGTCTTTGCTAGCACAAATATAGAACAGTTCGACCATGGTCACAGAAAACAATTCAAAGATTTATTGGCTGTAGATCATCAAGAGGGACTTGCAGTGAATAGAAATTACAATGGAGATTCAAGAGCTTTTGGGTTGCTCAGCACATTCCATGGAAGACCTGAGGAGAATGCGGGACTCGGTAAAAGCCATGAGGTCAACTGAGCTCCAGGCCATTGTTCAAGATGGAGAACTGTTCAGCACATGCATCACATTGCTCCAGCAGCAGTCAGCTTCTGATTCCAGGTAGCTTTGCTGTGACTGCCAAATGGCCTTTCATTGGCAGAGTGACTTACATTATTTGTATAGTTGGTATCCTGAATCTGTGCAGACTGTCAGAGGCCCAAACTGCTATGACATCCATATGAATGAAATTAATGGGAGCAATGATGTTTATGAAGGGGAATTTTTGCATGTGCCCCCTTTCTGCTTTCATATCTCCTATCCTTGAAACTTCTCCATGTCTCATTGGGTCTACAATCTGTCTCCCATCAAGTAGTGACCCTGGGATTCCTCAAGGATCATTTCACTCCAGTGTTTGTAACTATCCTGACATTGACATTTTCATTTGTCATCCTCATCCTCTCCTTTCCTGCTTCTGTGGTCTCCCCTTTTCTTCTTTGAAGCTTAACAGAATATGGTCTCTTTCGTTCATCTCAGATTACAGGCTAATCTGCTTATATGGTGGTCTTCCAAGCAATAGAAGATGCCACCTTAGCAAAGGTTGCCTGGAGGATGTTCATTATAAGCCCAATGAAATTCAGCCATGATCTTTTCAATATTGGCTGCTTTCACCACTCAGTGATACATTTCAATTTTGCCAACTCAGTTTCAGCCTCTTGTAATCTCTCATGTCTTGCATTCTTAGTGTGGGAACATTGGCTTCCTATACAGTGTGTTTCAAAAATCACACAACCCTATATAAGAAAAAAATAGTGTATATTTACATCATAAAAAATGTTAAAGTAATTAATTGAAGAAACATGTTGCCTGTGGATATAAACATCTTAGCAAAATATAGTTGTAGCCAACTTAAACAATCAATCATGTTATATATATACAACAGTTATTATTTCTATTCAGGGTTGTGACTTTTGAAACACACTGTACCACAGGATATCATCTGTTGATGATCGGTAGTAAGTAATTCAGGAGCATTGAGCATAGATGCATGTTCTATCATAAACTATTATTAATATCTTAAGTGATGACGTAATCAGTCCAGCTATCTGTATGATCTACAGTATTTTTGTTATTCAAATAAATGTTAGTAAATGCAAATTCATGAAAACCATTTTGTGTTTAAAGAAAGTTATGTATAAGAAAACATTAGCAGAGAAACAAAACTTAAGGACCAATCAGTGGAAGGCAATTGAATTTCTAGCTGCCCTCCCCTTTCATGGAATCCTTATTATGCCACTGGAGACAAGGTACTGAATTTGACTAGTCTTGTGCCAATGTTGTCCAAATCACCAATATCTCTGGAAATATGACACTATTGAAGGCTGGGAGTGTGATAACTAAAGTTTGTTGAATTTTGAAGATTGCATGTAATTTGTTGTGAGAATGGTAACTGAGTTTTGAAAGAAAAGGTGATCAACATTTGAAAAACTTCAAATGAGTTAAAGCTGTTCACTACTGGCATGGGACTTCCATGCTGGACCTCCATTTGCTTGAGCCTTCCCCCCTTTCTCCTTTTAGGGATTCCAAAGTAGGCATCCTGAGTGAGACCTTCTTTGCGATGCTCGATGTTGTACCCACAGGTGCTCTCAGTGACTCTCAACATGAACAACTCCAAATATGCCTTAGCCATTGCTCTCCTATTGTGAGGGAAATGGCCCTCTGTCAGGCAAGTGGCATTTGTCTTGTTGCAAGAATGGCACAAAACCATTTTGCTATCAGTTCAATATACAGTATGTAAAGTAGGTCTTTGCTGGTGCCAGATATTTTTAGGCTGAACTTCACCTGTACACCTCATGTGAGATACATGTTGTTACTACATCTTCTCTGGTATCTAATGTATGAAACAGTGAAAATGATTCTGTTTTGCTTCTTGTTCTATAGCAAATGGAAACAAATAAATGCAGCATAAGTGGGAAGGCAGGAACTGGCATCTGAAGCCTACTTTAAAAAAAAATTAGACTTGTATATAGAACCTAGCTGCTGAAATTTGTAGCAGGAAACGTCAGTTGCCAGGAACTAACTAGTTCAAATGCAGACATATATACTCATTTTTAGCTAGAGTGGAAAAGGAAGGAAAAAAATTTGTTAAATTCTAAGTCATGCCAGGTGCATCATGTTACACCTTACATTCTTGTTCATGTTCACTCAAGCATCAGCTAGACTTAACAGAGTTAACATGCATTGTAACCTCCCCAAGAATGGGATATCCTCTTCACTTTGGAAAAAAAAAGCAATTTCCTGTAATTCTTTGTGATTAAGGGGAATAGGAGGTGGTGAATCCTAATTTTGGTTGCTTACAAGCTCGCAGCAATATGTAAACAAGAAATTGGTGTTTCATGCATAGACCTTGTCCTACCAGGTATGTGAAACTTTATTGCATGCAGAAAGAAAAAATTCATTTCTGCTCTGTCCTCATTGATTTTTGGTACCTGAGCCTGATTCAGTGAATTTTGTCATAGCAGCACTGGGAGAGAGAACTTGGCTTCCAATGCAATCTGTTGACAGATAAATTGAAGTAAAGCAGGTGTTTACTTCTGGGGCTTATTGTCAACACCATTGTGAAAAATTATTGAAAAGTCCCTCTTTTGAATACCTAAGGCAGATTAACTTCTGTCAAGGTGTTTTGCATTAGCAGTTACTTTCACACTAGCACAAGGTGTAGACACTGATGTGAGGTTATGAATTCAAACTTGATGTGATCCCTTGCACTCATCTAACTTAGGTCAGCAGAAAGAGAGAGGTGAAATCCCCCTGTGATTTTCTTTTAAAGGGGAAGGATGGAAGCTTCCATGTAACATGTTCAATATCAGACTGTATTCTGTGATTTTTTCAACCCAAATCAGCAAGGAGTTAAAGAGTTGTTCTCCAAAAGATCAATGAGTAGATGTTGTATATATACAGCATGTGGAGAAAATGTTTTTGTCTGCCTCCTTGTCTCATTCTTGAAAAAAAGTGACCAAAACTTCTTGTGGCTAGCTCTGAAGTTGTACTTCAAGTTGGCTGAGCAGAGAATGAACCTGATTTTCACATATGTTTCAGTTTCCATGCAACCAATTCCTAAATTTCCACCTTGTCATCCTAATGTAACTAATTTCATGCAAGTTTAATCCTGGGCAGAAGATTTTTTGCATTTTTTTAATATTATTTTTTTATTGTTATGATTCATAGAGGTTGAAATCTCAAGCTGACTGTGCACACATTCTCACCTTGTGTGTGAAGAAGCAACCTGTTAAAGAGTGCATAGTAAGCCTCATAGAGGACATTCACTTTCTTGAAGAAATCACATATCACCAATGACATTTCTTCATTTCTGATATCACTATACAATCAGCAGGGAGATTTAGCATCAAATGCCAGTCCCCACTGTAAAAATTGAATCCTTTCATCATCATAATCACATGAGCATTGAAAACGAAGGGTCTTCATTCCATAATGAGCTACTCACTGTCAAAGATTCATGTTTTCAGGTTTCTGGGATCAGTGGAAAACTCATTTTGAGAAAGTACAAACATATAAGGATATTAGGAACAAGACAAGAAAAAACTATGCATGGAATGTAATCAGAAAGACCTTCAACATTCTTTACAATGAACATAGAGCTTTAAATCACCAACTGAAGTCACATTTGGTGCAATTACAGTGTTGGAAGAAAAATGCACTCCTTTGATTCCTCTTCAAAACAAGGGAAGGAAGCATTTGGGTGAAGATTAGTCATTAGGGAGACTTCAAAGCCCTTGAATCTTAGTAATCAAAAGATAGCAAAAAAAACCAAACAAATGAATAATGTTTTGTCCAGAACTGCAATTTCTCACATGCAGCTTATCCATACATTTCTTGACATCTAGTGCAGCTCTCTCATGGATGAATACCAAAAACACTTAAGGAGAAAACCCTCCAGAGACATCCCTGCAGGTTATTAGATTTGCCAATCTACCAAAAGTTGTTGAAGCAACTCTTGATTATTTTGGAAAGATGAGAAATTCTAGATTTTAGAATGGGTATGATTTCTGTATTTCAGGTGGGAAAGTGGATAGGAGAAAATCCATCCTTGCTAAGGACCAAAGAGACACTTTTGCGAAAGTGCCTCTTCCTCATTGGCGATGAACATCTGTCAGTTGGGAAAGCTGCCATGGATATGGCTTTGAAGTTGGCTAGCTCACTCCCAGGGATGCAGATTCTCCAGTCTGAGCCAGCTGTTCTGACCATGAAGGAAGTTATGGAGAAGAATGACTCTGTTCGTTATAGGGTTTATGAGGTGAACTATTCCCTTGTGTCATACAGCAACTTTTTCCAATGTTCTCTGATTTCAGTGACTGAATGCAATTTATTATTCCTTGCAGGTTGTAGTGAAAGCAAGTTCAATTTCTCAAGAAGCACTTGATGGGTTTGTTGAGAGGAATTTCTTGCCACGTCTCATTGATGAGGTTCAGAAACAAGACATTTTGGTTCAGTTGAATGCCATAGAAATGCTCACTGAACTGGCACTCACTCCTCATGGTCTCCATTATTTAGAAGACAGAAATGTCCTCAAGGATCTTGAGAAAATACTAAACACATCAGATGGAGATCCACTCAGGAGTTTTCTTGTCCCAGGTACTTCAGGATAGTCTAGTTGCCAATGGGAAAAACAAAATGCTTCTTGGTGGCATTTTCCTCAAATCCTTGAAAGGGAGGGGGGGATAATCTTGCAATATGAATGTTTCATTTTTGAAAAAGCTTTATAGGTGCATCAAACTCAAATCAGTCTTTGTAACAGGTATTGCACAAAATAATCATGATTCATGTTCTCAGGTGCAGTCAAGTTCTTCGGGAATGTGGCTCGTCTCAAGCCTGAAAAAATCTTGGACCATTATCCACAATTTATTGCCAATATAAATTCCTTTGTGAGGAGTGATGACCTTGGTCTTAAGCATGTGGCTGTGGACACCTTTGGATTTGTGGGATCCACACTCAAGGGAAAACTGGCTTTACAAAGAATAGGTGAGGTGTTACCTGTTTTTTTTTTTTTAGAGATCAAACAAACTGTTAATCTGGCTCACACAACCTTTAGTAGGCTTTTTTTGTGAGCATTCTTTCCTGTCTCAGTATCTGTTTTACACTTTGCTCGTTTGACAATATTAAATATTTAGTGGCCTGAACAATTAAAACTGATAAGCTGATAGATATGAAAAAGATGCAAGCTAAGTTCACTTTTTACCTAATTCTTTCCAAAGACAATTTTCAGTGCAAATTTGATATTGGCTCATAGCAGGAAAGCCATGAGCAACTGTCAGCCTTCCTGGATCTTTACTGTGAGATGCATGCACATTGCTCAGCCTGGGTGGGAATGGGTGCATCTTTTTTCTTAGAGGCTATGCTAGCTCTGCTGAGGCCTCCAGCATCCCATGATGTCATGTTAAGGCTGAGCTGCTCAGCGCTCCCATAGTTCGCTATGTTCTGCTGCCAGCTGCTTGCCCAAGCGTGACGTCATTTGATGACATGGTCATGCCTAGCCAATGTGTCTTTTTCACTAGCAGCTGCTAGTGGCTGGAGAAAAAGACACACCTATTGTTGACAGATATGGACCAAGGAGCTCTCACCCACCTACAACATACTCCTGTTCCCAACAGTCTATGAAGGAAAGCCCACCATTAGAACTTTCCTAACTTGTTTCATTATTCTCATTTGCCTTTCATCACAGACATGAAACAACTTCTGCAGGACCTGAGTCATTTGGCTGAAGAAGCAAGCACAGAGACAAGGACTAGAGCTATGAACACCATTGCTTCTCTCCTTTCTCTTAATGTGAGCCATTGGTATTGTATCTTATGCATTCTAAGGTCATATTTCTGCAAGTTTGTATGCTTGTTGCTACAGGTTGAAAATTCAAATAATGAGTTAGAGAACCTCACTGAATCATGGTTTAGGCATCTCTCCAAGGATCCAATGCAATTCTGTCTGTCCCTCTGCAAGCAACCATTCACTGACATTCGTACTGCTGCTCTCAAGATTCTGCAGGTCATAGCTTCACAGCATTGGGGTCAAGTATACATAAAAAATACACCAGGTGAGTTATTGATACCTTATCTGAAGTGGTTCCTTGAGCTAAGACCTTTGACCCAGAACTTACAGTATGAGAAGTGGATAGACCATTGTCAAGTGCAGACTTGTATCTTTATTTTGCAGGATGCTTGGAGTATATACTAGACCGATGCACAGAACATGAGAAAGCAGGAAAGGAAGGAAAATATGAAGTTGTGTCATCAATTGTCTCCAGCCCTACTGCCCTTACTGTGTTTGGAACAGAAATGTTGTTGCCTCTTCGCAAGTACGAGAGAGAAGGGCCCTTCTTTGTTGCACCTGATGTCAACATAGCTTTTGAAGGTGATGGAAGTTGAAGCAAGAATGAAAGAAATGATGTTAATGCCATGAAATGTGGTTTAATTCTTCAATAAAAAAAGAACCAAGAATTTAAATCATTTCATCTCTTTTTCTTTTGCTTCAGTCTCTTTGCATGCCGATGAGCTCCTGTGGGGCGTCGGTGTTTCTTCAATTCGATCTCAGCCATTTTCCTCTTTCGATATCTGTAATGTGACAAAGTTGAGGTTTAACATGACTCTTTTTATTTTTATTTTTATTTTTTATACTGCACCTGATCCATTGTCTTAAAAATCATGGAAAGCTAACCTTTGGAATTCAGAATCAGCTAGGAGCTCTTCCACTATTGTTCTCTTCCTCTCCTTCTTAGGGATTCGAGCATGATAGAAATCAGCAGGCCCTTCAACTACTTTCCCAATCTGGAAATATATTTTAAAAAATGAATAAATTAAGGACATGATATACCAGTGCTGAAAGGAAGAAAATGACTGTCATTGCTCATAGCATAATGTGACCAAAGCAGAACTGTAGTGGTTAGTCCATACAGCAATGTGTCAAACCTGAAAGTATTTGGGAAGAGCCTTGAGATCATTCTTCTTATAGAAACGCTTGGGATCCAAGACATTCTGCATCTGAATGACTTCAAGATCTCTCTTAATTTCATCTGTCAGTTCTGTGGCAGGTAAATGGTACCACTTCTCTCCTTTTGTCTTTGCCCGTTCTATCTGTAATTAGAATTGCATCAGTTGAGGAAAGGACAATAGGACTCAATTCAGTGTGTTGAGACACATACAGAGCATTCCTGAGAAATGATAGGCCAACATTCCAGCAAATAAGTGGACCAAACAGTCCTTTGATAGTTTCTCACTGGCATGGGAAGAAGCGGTGAAGAAGAAAATACAAGTCATTGAATCTTTCCTTCATGCTTCAGGACATTTTTGAAAATATGTGGAGTTATTTGCTTGTAACATTCTTTCTTTCAGCCTCTGGCATTTTCCCTGCCCAATGTGCAGAGGCCCTGAGAACCATACAATTTCCAGATGCTAGACATATCATGCCAAGCCTATGCATGATGAGGTTATGCTTTTGGCAAAGGAAATGTGGCTTTCAACATATTTGTCATTGTTAAGCTATTTTGAGTTCTATTAACTTCAAAAGTTATAAACAGGTATTCTCACAAAATAATTTGCTTTGTCATTCTTAACCCCTTCTGACCCAGTGATTCCATTAGGAATCACTTTTTAACTTTTTTCTTCTTCACACATTTCAGAGTCATGAAGTCATTATCCCTAATGTATTTCATCCAAGGTTGCCACTAATGCAAGTCACTTTAAATACTCTTGCCATCTGTAGAGCAGGTTAGGAAAACCCTTGCAAATGAGGTTCATGGGAACAGAGATGTGCAGGGGGGCAACCCACTTAGTCTGCTTGCATATCCTTCCTCGGAAATTCCAATTTGTTGCCTTAGGTTCACAGGAAAATTTTTTTTTTCTTACACTGCTGTAGAATGAGAATTTTCAACTGAATCATTAGCATAAACTCTCAACACTCTAGTTATAAACTGTGGCTCACTTCTGATCACCATTTCACCATCATTAACAAAACCACCAATGGTAAAATTATAAGTAAATAAAAATAAAATTAAATTAAAATAATTAAATGTACATAACTGGAAAAATAATACAGGCAACATTAAATTTATCTTTATTAAGTTCACACTTTCATAGCTCTGTTAACATGTCAGAATCTGGATATTGTTATATTTCAGCATGACATGGCAATGTGACATGTAATGTAGTTCATAAAACCCTAAGAGAACCACACCTATAGCTTCCACTGCCCACTAAGTCAGAAAAATCTGTTGAAAACACTTTGGAAGTACAGTCATCCCTCGCCACTTCACGCTTCGACTTTCGCAGCTTCACTCTATCGCGGTTTTTTCAAATACTGTACAGTAATTTTTATTTTAATTGTAATACAGGGGTGTATAATTGACTCAGACAACCGAGTGCATGCTGTATCATTTTCACTGTCTCGATCAACTTTTTAATGAATATATTTGAAAAAACCGCGATAGAGTGAAGCCGCGAAAGTCAAAGCGCGAAGTGGCGAGGGACGACTGTACAGAGTTACAACCTATTTCTCCTCTCAGACATGGTAATCTCAGTGTCCAATTATTGTGTAGAATGTTCCAGAAACCCTTCACTCACTGTGCAACCTGGAACCATGCATGACACCCTAGAAGTTCATAAAGATAGCTATTTTGGAGCACAAAACAGAAATGCAAATTCCACTATGGAAACATGAGTTTTTTTTTCATTTAAATAAATACTTCAACACTGGGTTCAGGGAGCCAATAAATATCCTTTCCTGTGCAGGCACGAGGAAGCTCAATGCCAGCATGTACATCCATGAATTATTAGTCCACAGGCAGAATTTCAAGGGATATAGGGAGCATGAAATGTTATAATGAGGACAGGTACTAAAGAGCATTTTGAGCAAAATCAGAGCATGCCATCAATTCCATACACTCCATACCCATTCATTGATAATTCTGTCACTTCTGGGTCTTCTCAACACTGGTAAGTGTCATCTACCATATCATCAGCATCTTGAAAAAGTAATTTTCTGCAGTCTAAACCATCATGTCTGAATATGACTATTCTGTAAATTTTGGAATTATACACTCCTCCAGTCTCTGAGACCAAAGATGACCCTTTTGCCTCTTTAGTAAATGTCAAATCTATCCAGTACATTGAGATATAGAGAGATCCTGTCTGAGAGCTTCCACTTGAAGGCAATCCAAAAGTATAGAAAATGTTCAACTTCACTTAAATTCTTTGAAACTGCAGTATCATTCATAACTAAGGTGTCCAAGTATGAGAAATGCATCATCCATACATGTGGATTTGGGCTCGCTGGATGTGAAGGATTTCCTCTTTTATATATTTGGGCTGAGACATGGATATGAAATAAAATCTCTTCAGCTGAGATGCTTACCTTTCGGAGAATTGCCAGCTTTCTCCTGGATTCTGAATAGGAAGGTACTGCCTCCTTCTGTTCAAATCCAGGTTGAATGACAGAGTTTTTCATTAACTCATCTGGTTTACACAACTTTTTGGCAAGGGATATCAGTTGACTTGCACTCTTCCATCCTTCCGTTGGTGCTGGGTTGATGTACAAATGCTTCTTCAGCTTTCTGGAAACTTGCAATGAGCTGGACAACTTGACTGTTCTAATAACATCAGAAAAGACAGAAGTAAGGAGAATTCAAGGAAACACTAACAAAACACACTGGTTTCGCTAAACCCACCTCTTCTCCTTTTCTTGTTGCTGAATGGGATCTAAAGATTCATCACCCTGCTCTTCATCAGTATCACTGTCACTGTGGGATGAAGTAGCACTAAGCACAGTTGGAGCTCTTGAATCCACCACAAACAGTTCCTCATTGGGAATGTGTTCTACAATGAAAGTCCAAAAAAATCCAACTAGAACCAAACCAGTCACTCTTTTTTCTTTATTGTGAGGCAGGCTTCCATATGAACCACTTGCATTCCATACTTAGATATTTTTATTATTAATATTACTATGATTAATATTTACTCCTTGCACCAGAAAATTTAGTCTCCAGTAAGACAAATGAAATACAATTTTAAACGGCGAATGTCAGTCTAACAAAGCAACACACCAGGCAGTTAAAGCTAACTTTCAGGTTATAGACTGTACCCAACATTCCGAGCGAAGCCTGAGTGCCGTAGTTTGTACTTTCTCACCGATTTTTGGATTGATCTGGTGACTATCGTTCTCAAGGATTTCACGCGGTGAATTCTCCTGTATCGACGAAGTTTCCTCCTCTGTCGTGCCTGACGTTACGCCTGTTGTATCTTCATCGTCAGAGGAATCTTCGTGCAGATTCAGCGGATAACGAAAAGTATCCACCTGCTTCATCGCAAGTAGATCTCCAACCTACCACAGGCAAAAGCAGACAAACCTGACAGTTACGCCAACGGCACTCAACCCTACAGAACGGGCAGAACGAGTCCACGTGACGTGGCTCTGGTCGCAGGCACGCTGCCATCATGCCGCTAGCAGACGACATTCACCCGTGGCTGGTGCAGTGCTGCCGCTGGCGCGTCGGCAGTCGAGTTACTGCTGTGAAAAGCGTTTCGTGTCAATCTAATTTCGATCCCTGGAGAGCGTTGGGAGCAGTGGCGTAGCAATGGGAGGGCTGGGTTCAAAGTTTGGTTTGGTTTCAAACCCCCCTAACTCTGGTCGGAATGCGTCCGCCCCCCCCCCCCCTTCCCCCCCATCCGCCACCCCGACAAGAAGTAAGTCTCCCCAACGTTCCGCTAAGCCCCCCGTTGAAGAAAACCTGACTACGCCACTGGTTGAGAGACTCATCTGTCAAAATCTGAGATCTTGCGTGGGAATCTGAGATCTTGTGTCTACAAGAAATGCTTCTCGAGATCAGTGTTCGCAGTTCGTCTTCTCAGGAATGTTCGTAACTCCAATCAAGCAGTAATGGAGTGGAATACTGCATCTTGTCTTGTTTATTATACGCCCTACCAATCTATGCTGGATATTTGACCGAGGAAAGCAAACGCTTACTTTTGAAACTGCTGCGCAGGCTTGCCGCTGTATCCAACGTGAGAAGCAAGGTCTGTTACCGATTTTGTCGAGAAGGTAAATTCTGCTGGTACAGGTACTGCCCTGGCCATGCGCATTTCAAGGAGTGAAGATCATCCTTTGAGACCAGACATACAAAAAGCCATTGGACAATGGAGTGGTCCCGTTACCAGAAATGGTATTCACCATCCCAAAGCTAACACATTCAAGTTTC